CTCTTGAGATAAATCGTATAGAAATTTTAATCAACTTGATGCCCTTATAATAGCTCATATTTATATTGTGACCTTGATATTACTTCATCAATATAGTTTTATAGATGCATGAGTACTTAACTGCCTAGTGTCTTGACATCACTGGAAGCTGCTGAAGACTAGTTAATCTGTCTGATGATCTTTTCACTTTGCTTTTAATGAGATGGTAGAATTTGTGTTAGTAGTTTAGTGAGATAAAAACAGATCTTTTTGGCCATCCTGTGGCCCCTCTTAAAGATAGGCCCAAGCCAGTGTGGGCACATTGGGCAGGTTGGAGAAACCCTTATTTCTATTTTGGAAGTAGCTTGAATATCTGCATTTCCACATTGTAGCTGAGAGAAATTGTCCTACTGGCAACTTATCTAATATGTACCTGATGGATCACATGGAATACTATATGGGCCATTCAGAGTTTATTCCCCCTTCTTCTGTTCATGTAATACTAGTTGTGGAGAATGTTGTTGATACAATTGTTCATTTAGCCTTACTTCAGACCATAGTTTGGAGGGGTAAAAAATGAATCTGAGTACTAAACATTCAATCCCCACATTTGAAGAGCACAGTTAATAACTTGGTAATCCAGGAACATTTTTGTGAAACTTGCCAATACTCTCCAACCACTTTGGTCTGGGTTAGCATTGTCTATGCTTAAACTTAACAGTTTAAACTATTTGATGCAGAATATTTATATTAACAGTAAATTGAGTTGAAATTAGTAGACTGATTACTCAACTTGCACTGGAATGTTCCTCTTTCCTGAAAAATTAATTCTGTATGCAAATTTAATAGTTTTTAAAAGATTTTTCTGACATACATATGAACAATATGTTAGATCTACTTCATGTAAAGTGTAATGCTGGCATTAATTTTATCTTCAGGGAAGGACCCTCTGTGCAGATAGCCATCATTTCAGTAGTCCTTTCAGCTCTGGCAAAATGATTTAGAAATTAGTAAAATGATGAATTAGCCATCTAAAATGTATACAAGATCATTAAAACCAAGCAGAATGATTCAGGTCATAAAATAGAATGTCTGCAGCTGAGGTCATGGGCTATGCTGCACAAATTCATATGTTCAATTTACAACAGCAACAAAGAACATAGAATATTTTGATTCTTCATGTACGAGTTTATCCAAGAGAATCCTAGACTCTAAGATCCAATATGAACATAAGCTGTTCTGTTACCTTGCAACATGTTGTCTATAGCAATACATGCCAGGTGCCCTGGATGTTTAAGTATTGGATGTATTTTCCTTCAGGATACTGTTTCACACTGAATGAAATAGCCAAACCCATGGATTTTTATTTCACCAGCATATCAGTTTGTTTATCACATGAAATATATTTGTGAAAGCAATATGTAATTTCCTTTTATACTGATGATAAACTGCAGTCTATTTCCTTTTTATTGTGCATATTATAATAGACTATAGAAGCCCCAATCAGGGATCTGGGTGCCAATATACTAAGTGCTATAGTGGCAAGTAGAAAATGACAATTTCTAAGCTCCAAAAGACAGTCCCAAAGAGCTGGTGCCAATATCTTTTGAGTTGATATATACAAACATAAACCCATAATTTCTAATAAAAAACAATGCATTCTTCATGTAGAACATGTTGGCCATAATGTAATATGAAACAGATAGCTTCTTTTATGTGTTCAATGTGATCATTGCCAATTGCTTTGAAATGGTGTCCATGAAGCAGTCTCCTTGAACACATTACAAGTGTTCATATTCAACAGAATTTCAGCAGAAAAATGTGTGTGTTTGCATGCAGCATGACTTACTCTTTTCCTTCTAAAATGTAATAAGAAATGGGCTGCGAGGGAATAATTCCTGACAATCAATTAAAGAAAGCAAAATAATGACATCTGATACTTTGAAGTATGGGGTAGCCTCACATTTGACTGACTTCAGAAACAGGCCCTAACTTTGCTCTGCTACATTTAATA